AAAACCTCTTTCTATTTTCAGAATTGGCTTTCAGATGTTTCCCATTCCCTGCTCAGGTGCTGTTCTCAAAAGCTCTGCACACAGGACCACAGATCCAAGCAGAGGACTCTTATTCAGAACCAAAACCCAACTTTTCCATAGCTGTGCTACCACAGTAATAGCAGGCATAGCTGAAGAGGCAAGGCCAAGAAAGTAAAAACATTGTTATTGTCTTCTGATCCTATCTAGACACTTCCCCACAACAAAACTGACGTTTTGCTAAACACCAGTCACATAAAATACTGAGAAAAACAACACAGTGTAACTGGAGACATGACAGTAATCCACATGAACCAGTAGGCAAACTAGCAACTGGGAATGGAACTGGACAAGCTCAGCAAAATTTCATCCATAAATATTTCACTAAGCCCTCAGGAGTTACTCTTTCATACATTTTACCTTGACTTTTCCAAAGTCCTATATGAATTTGGCCAAAAATTCACACCTCAAGCCATAGCTAATGAAAATTCATATTTTAGATCTATTTAGTATAACCCTTCATGCAGAAACTGTGGCAGAATAGGAATGGGGCTGTGGCCAAGCTTCATCCCCAATGGGGTGGAGCTGTGTAAGACAGGTGGCCAGCAATGAAGGAGAAGTGTGGAAAGCTGATTAACCAGTAACAAAAGAGTAAAAGGTGTTATGCATGTGAGAAAAAAAGGTATAAAAAGTTGTACTGGGGAATAATAAAGGGCTGATGCTTGCCACCATTTTCAGCATCAGTCATGTGTCCACTGTCACAAAACTACCTTAAGTAGTCTGGAATATCCAGAAGCCTGAAAGCTTCCTTGTGTACACTGTCCAAGAGACCTGCAGCCTGGAGCTGGTTTACAAATATATTCTCACACATTCAGGCACTCGTGAAGAGCTAGTGACTTGGCAATGCTCGAGGCAATTAATTACAGAAAGTGCTCAGTAAACAAATGTTCCATTTGAGTTGCTTGCTTTGTTCTGGTGACAAACCACACAAAGGTTGAATTCAAATTCTCCTTCAGCCACACATGCATATAATTCCTTCTCCTTTAATGCAGGGGAAATAAGGGAGATTTACTCACCACTTCCCTATTTCTGAAGGAATTGAGACTACATTAGAAGAATCCTATTGTATTGCAGGTAGCTTATGGTTTCAGTTAGATCAGCCAGAGCTGTTTGTGGGGTAAGGAGAGATGTTTGCTGCCTGTTTCCTGCCAAAGAGGGTGACAGGTAGCTGTGTGTTCTGAGGTGAGCTTGTAATGCAAGGTGCTGAACAGAGGAAGCCACTTATATAATAAGAAAATAGGTTTAATGACCTCCAAGAACACTTGAACAAATACAAGCACTTCCGAGGCTCTCCCTAACCAAACCTCACAAGTTTACCTTTAATGAATCAATCTGTCAGTCATGTGAAATGAGTTCAGCTATCAATGAAAAAACAATAAATGTACAGTAATGAGGAAATTACCTAATGGACCAAAGCAGATTAACTTAATTTGTTATTAATTAGATGCCCTCAGGAGAAACTGTAGAGGGAGTGGCCAAACACCAGGATAAGGGTTAACAGAATAATTCCAATAAATGAGATTTTCTGTTTTGGTATGCTCCAGGAAGAATCAAAGAAAAGAAAGAAATAAAAATATACTGTTCTCTGCTTGCTGGCAAGACCATTGGTACATGTCGCTGCTGATAAATTAAATTAAAGCCTGCGTGCAGAAGCATTTAATCAGAAAGAATAAGCAAACAAAGTGAAACACTATCAGCCTTGTTTTGTTCTCATCCTGGCCTTATACTAAAACTGTTCTTAGCGACTTCTTTTTTATAATTACATTAATTACCGCATTCTGAGGAGCAAAATAACCCTGAATAGCAATTACAGCCTCTCTAAGGGTAACAGAAACATTACTAAATAAAGAATATCATTATGTAGCTAGAAGAAGTTACTTCAGCTACAGTTTCTCTTTGCTATTAAGTCTCCTGCACTACAGATTTCTTTATAACTGTATTTATACAAGCAACAATAGCAAAGAGGCAGCAGCAGTGTGCTCATCTGTGTTTTCTCTTCATCAGTTGAATTCTTCTGTTTGAACAAGAGATTCTAAAACTAACATGAAAATATTTTCACTCCTGTTCTCTGCTATCAAAAGACATCTACCAGTGGCCAAACCACTCACCATGCTGACCTGCATGTCCAACCACTGTCCAATTCACAAGCTCACTGCCCTCTACTCTGCAGCCCACTTGCCATTCTCAACAAATGCTCTCTATAAACCTTCCTTCTCCATACCCTGGCAATCTCACATTGCTTCTTTCTTCCACCTAATTTCTAACTTCCTCATCTCTTACCCCTTACCCTCTGAAAAGACCTCTTTTCCTGGAAACAATTTTGTCACATTAAGTCAGGCAGAATACTGTCCAACTTTGTTCACCAATGTGTGAGGGATGAAATACAGACTGGGACATTTGTGTATCGCTTGGACACAGTGAGCAAATTTAGCTCAGAAAACTTTCCAAATTAATGCCCATGCACTAAGGTCATTTCCCATTTCCTTCAAAAAACAGAAACTGTTTTTTGAAAGAGGAATTTGTCCCAGAGACTATTCTCAGAGGCTCAAATTAGCCGTTCGTGTTTTCCATTCCAGACAAATACACTAAAGCTTTCTTGACATTCGGTCTTTTCAATGAGCTGCTCTAGTCTCAATCAATGGACTTTATTCATAAATAAAGCAAGACTCATAACTAAGAAGCAAAAAGGAACTCATCTGATTTGTTTAGGTTATGTTTTTGTTATCCTGTGTTCTATTGTTACATATTCCACTATGCACGTTCCATTAAACAAATCAGGATTTCTAGGGGGCAGAAGAATAAGATGTTCACCTATACAAAAAATATGGTCAGTTATGTCAACTTATCCAGATCTCTCCTGAATATTCTGCTTCTAATATGCAAATACAGACAACTTCATCTTTGCAACACTCAGTAAGATTAGCAGGACAAATAAGAAAAACATATTAGGAAGATATACTATTAGGAAAATACTAAAAGGGCAGAAACTGGAAATTTTAGCAGGATGAAAACAACTAATGGGGACAAAGAACAAAACCTCACTTGCCTCCCACATACAATGGGAGACTGCCTGGAGCATGGAGCTACACCCAGACAAACATCTCTGAACCAAATAATAACAGAATAAGTTTTATTTAAAAATTAACACAGAACAGATTTTCACTCCAATAAATTAGGAAGTTAAAATCAAAGCATGTAGAACTGAATGCTGGTAAAAGTATCATCTGAAACAGAATGCACAGAGCACCATGGAAAGGCACTGGACTGGTCCATGCTACTGGGAGCTGTCTCTAAATGTTGTTTAGAACATGAATAGCACTCACAAAAGGATAACCTCATCTTATGGGACTGAGAATTAGACAGCCTTTGTAACATGGCCTATCCAAACTCCATTTTTCAGTTTCTGGAAAAACATTAGATTTGTCAGTGACTGTGGTGGTTTCGCCCTTGCTGCACCCAGCAAGATGACAGATACCCACTAAAGCCACTCTATCACTCCCTGACACAACTGAACAGGGAATGGCAAATAAAACAAAGGGTTAATGGGTTGAGATAAGGATCAGAAGAGACCACTCACCCATTATTGTCATGCACAGAACAAACCTGACTTGGGGAAGTTGACTAAATTTATTACCAATCAAAATCAGAGCATGAAATAAAACCAGTCTTAAAAACACCTTCCCCCTAGCCCTCCCTTCTTCCCAGCTCTACCTCTTTCCCTCAGTGGCATAGGGAGACAAAATGGGGTTATGGTCAGTTCATCACAGGTTGTTTCTGCTGCTGCTCAGAGGTAAAAGTCCTTCCCCTGCTGCAGCAATGGGTCCCTCCCATGAGACACAATTCTTCACAAACCTCTCCAGTGTGAGCACTTCCCATGGGCTACAGCCCTTCATTAACTGCTCCTCTGTGGGTCCCCACAGGATCACAATTCCTGCCATCAAACCTCTCCAGTGTGGGCTCCTCTCTCTCCATGGGTCTGCAGGTCCCTGGCAGGAGCCTGCTCCAGCACGGGCATTCCATGGGGTGGCAGCTCCTCAGGGCATCACCTGCCCCAGTGCCCTCCATGGGCTGCCCCACAGGCTGCAGGGGAATCTCAGTCTAGGGCTTGGAGCACCTCCTGCCCCTCCTTCTCCACTGATCTTGGCCTCTGCAGAGCTGTTCCTCTCACACATTCTCACTCTGCTCTCCTCTGGCTACATCACACCTGCACAACAGCTTTTTTCCCTTCAGAAGTACAGCATCACAGAGATGGTACTGCCATGGCTGCTGGGCTTGGCCTTGGCCAGCAGTGGCTCCATCCTGGAGCTGGCTGGCATTGGCATCCCTGCTGGACATGGGGGAAGCTTCTGGCAGCTTCTCATGGAAGCCACACCTGCAGTCCCCCCATCCCTCCCCTCCACCAAAACCTGGCCACGCAAATCCAACATGCTCCACTCCTCACCACTGTGAATCACATACTTAAGAATTACCATAAAATTTCACATTCATCACACAAATCAAAATAACACTGAATGAAAGTGAAAAATTTACACTAAATTGTCTTGTCCCTTCACCACAATTACAACTAAAATTTTCCACCATTATTGCATTCTCTGATATTTTTCAGCCCATGTTTGTCCCTCTCTCGATTACTATACTTATCTCAAATTCCTTCATGTTCCCAGGTTTCATCAAATTAGAACTCTATGTATTGGTAGATGAAGTGACTGATTAAAGGCCTTGAAGGTACAGTATTAGGTAAATGTAATATTATGGATCTACTTTCAGTATTCCCCAACACACTCTAACGTAAGTTCACAAAAATAATTATCAAACTAAATTTTTTAAAAATTCAACTTAACTTAACAATTAGGTGAACATTTTGCATACTAGGGAAAACCAACAGCTGTCCAACACAGGAAACAGAGGCAAAGCAGACTTACATTTGTGTTGCAGAGTTTATATTGCTTGTAGGCACCAATGCACACGATGGCTGCAGCCCGCTGCGGCTGGGGCTGGCCCTGCAGGGCCTGAGGGTTGGAGTCACGGCCGTGGAACAGGCTCTGAGACACGGGGAACGAAGGGGGCTGATAAACCGAGGGCCCCAGGGCCTGGTGCCCTGCCTGAGGCCCGCCTGGCTCCTGGTAAAGGCTCCCGTGCTGCAGGGAAGGAGCAGCAGCCTGGCTGTAGGGGCTCGGGTGGAACAGCTGCTTCCTCGACGACTGCCGCTGCCTCCGCAGCTTCTGAGGCTGCTGGCCAGTGTCAGTTTGTAAAGGTAAAATGTATGGCACTTTTCCATAGCCATACTTTCCTGGACCAATAGGATTTCTGTTTCTGCTTCTAAAAACAGAGAAAGAGAGAGAAAACAGTTACTGACTCCATAAGCAAAAGAGCAGTTAGGTATTTACAGGACCTGTAATAAATATCAACAAGATGTAGTCTAGCTTGATATATTAGGAATCTCAGAAGGCCTTGATCCTAACACTGTAGTCTGACAAGTTGGCAAAAAACATTTCTTCCAGTTCAGAGCAATGAGTGAATTCATCTATTCTGGGTGACATTTGCAGCACAGGAAGGGAGACACCATTTAAAAAAAAAAAAAAAATTCTTTCTGTACATAAAATACATTTGTGTTTTTAATATATATGCAAAACAGACTTGAACTCCAGTGAAAACCAGAGATTATAAATTGACATGCTTTTATTTTCTAGAAACAGAAGTGCTACAGATGTCAGACAGCCATCAGATCAAAGGGACCTTTCTTTGGGTTTGTTTTTATTTGGGTTTGTTTTCTTCCCAAGTCTTATATTCTCCCAGGACTCTTGCTAGCTGGGAACCCTGAAAGTCATTTACCTCCCATTCCAGCCTTATGGCCACATGGGGCTTTTAATCAATCTTCCTGGCTCAAGATGTGTGAACAGAGTGCTGATTTGCCCTAGCAGATAAGCCACCAGCACTCTTGAACAGTTTATCCCTGTTAATCTGCTCTCTGACCATGACAGTCATTGTTGAAGGAAGCTTTTGGTAGTTACAGCAGAGAGAGTAGTATAATGATTTTTGGTATTAAGGGAGGGAAATTAAAGCTTCCCAGAACTATACAGGAGAGGAAAGAAAGAGAACTCGTGAGCCTTGTGCTTACTTAGCCAGATCTAAACAAGAGTGAGATTACACAGCATTAGCTTTTCTATTGCTCCCTAAACTGAAGAAGAGTAAGACAGAGTAAGAGGAAAACGAGTATTCAACAATATTTGCAGTCAACTAGGACAAAAGGGAGGGGGGGAAATGCCAACAAGAATGGAGTTACTATCTAAAGGTAAATTACTGCTTAACAGAAAAATATTTGCAGAAAAGCATCACGTAATTCATGTCTGTCCACAGCCAGCAGACATCTCTGATCTACTCTGTTCATCTCTAGCAGAGGCATAACAGCTGCTTAATGCAGATCTGACAATCTCCTTTCTTTGGGCATAATTCTCATAAACATATACACCTCTTTGATTGCTCAGACAAATCTCTTTAGCACTTTGATAAGAAAAATGATGGGCCCTTTAAACTTAAGCCAACCTAAATATATTCTTTATTTCAAAAAATGCATTTGCCCAGACAAGTAAGAAAATCAGGTTTTGTGTTATTAATGTAAGGGTTGTAGCAAATATGATGATGATGATGATGATGATGATGATGATGATGATGATGTAGCATTCTTACTGTTCTAACTTTTAACAATTTCTCTAATGCTGAGAATATGTCAGCTGTGAGTAGTAGAAATTGGCCCCTCTTAGCACATTTGCAGTGTCAAAAAGGAATTTGGTTGTCATAGCTTTTTCTAATTTTAGCCATAAGCAAACATGTGCCTTGGCAATCAATGCATTATCACTGCCTCACAGACTTCATGCTAAGAACAATGCTTTGAACCTGAAGTGGTCTTCAAGACTGAAGCACTTTCAGAGCTGGTGGGCTGGTTATTTATATTGAATAGAAACCCTCTTTGAACTAAGGATATACAGTGTCTTTAGAATACACAGGTAAGATTACAAATTTCCTGGTCCTCCACCTCTTCTCTTAAGTGCACTTTATACAGCCTTTCTCCTACATACCTTTTTCATTTTTTCCCTTTTTCCATCACTTCCCTTCTCCTTACATTTCTCCCACTGCCTCTAAATGGAGGTTCCCTGGCTTACTTCCAGCTGAAGCATAACTTGTTTTATTTCTCTTCTGATGTCAGGCAGAATAAAGAATGTATTTCCATGAGCTTTTCAGCATTTCATTTATCTTATCTTCTAGTATCAAAGTACTTCTCTTGTAAATGAAAAACTGCAAGGGTGAACATTAGCAAAACCATTCATTTATGACAACAAGGAAGACTTGTTGTACAACTGCTGGAAAAGTTTCCTTAGAATGAGCCCAAAGAAGCTTCTGATTTCTCACATTTTCAATTCACAACATTTCACTGTTTCTGAAGAAATAATGTCATGTTTTGGAAAGGTAACAACCTTCAGCCACAGGTTTCACAGGGATAAGGAGAAAAGGATTGCATAGGAATACTTTCCCCAAGATTTTTTCTTGTCTATTGGCAGAAATAATTTCACAAGCAGAGGGAGATGGTTTTCTTCCCTGTATTCCCAGTCACAACAACCACACTAATGAAAAGACAACAGAATCTCACCACAGATCTGCAGATAGAGTAATAACAACACCTATATCTTTCTTTTAATTTTATCAAGTTTGGTCAAGTTTGATGCTTTTTTCAAAACCTTCAAAGGCTTCCTTTACCAGGAGTCCTGTCCTGGAATGAACACTGACGTCCTCTAATATGCTAAGGAAACCCCTGTCCTCAGTGAGCCTGGTCCAGCTGCACTTCTGGGTGCCCAGGGCCTGGCATTTTCTGGGTTCTTGTGGGTTCTCCTCACCTGGGAATTCAGAATAATCCATTCTCTGAAGTATTGCTGGCTGTGGTTGTGCTCTATCAGCACATCAATCCACCCAGAGCTAACACCTGCTCAAGCTGAACTTAACACTGATCTATCAGAAGAAACAGAGGTTTTATGGGCAAGATGAAAGTGGAAGACAGAAAACAGGTTACAAATTTTATTTCTATTTTATTTCCCAAAAGATACTCCACATTATTTACCACTGCAAAAGTCTTTTAAATTATGCTGATCTGTGCTTTGGCATTGCTGTTATTAATTTCCATTTTAAAAAATGCTCCAAAACTGCAGTTCTTTGATTTTGGGTAGAAAATTATTTCTAAAGGAGCTGAGTCCCCTTAGATGCCTATCAAAGCTCTTTGACTTAAATTTATCTACTCATCATGGTTTTAACAGAACTGCTTTTTAGTAGGCAAAGTCCTCTGTAACTGAATCAATTACATACATTCTAACTTAATTAAATCTATTTCTGTGGAGAACTGTACCAATATTTAACCTAATACTTGAGGTCATAGCAAATTATCTGTTTTGCAGCACTACATTACTGTAATTAATTGAAAGGTTTTAAAGGACACTACCCAGCTACTCACAGTTCGACTATTCAGTACAGAGTTGCCTTGATTCTTTTTCTGAAGAACTGAAAGTGACTTATTGGCTATTCCTGTCAGCAATTAAGCTATTGAAATATTACTCAAATATTTAAAATGTGATTAAGAAAAAAAAAAGGGGGGAGATGGAAAAGTCCTTGGAGACACAAAATGTCAACTTGGAAAAAGCCTAGTCCTAATTATGTGAATTTCTGCTAACAGGATCACTGTGGGCATATATTTTTAATGTACTTTTTTTTATTACTTTTTTTATTACTAGATAATGTTCTTAAAATAATTTCAGACATGCACTCTTAATCCATGGCATTTCCTCCATAATTCAAAACTGTGACTGGCCTACAATTGCCCAAGTCAATCATTTACTTTCCAGCCCTCCTACTGCTTTTAATTTTCTTTCACGCTTTGTATATTATTAGGCCCACAGTTAACAAGGTGTACTTTAAAAAGATTCCACCATAAATTTTTTCCCCCTTAAGTCACAGAATAAACTGTCTTATACTGCTCATAACTATTAGTGAGTTTATACCTAACAGTCTTTCAGCAGATTCTTTGACAGGAATAATTTTTTAACAAAAATGATTGATCTACTGGATCTGGGAACAGGTTTCCATCTACTTAAGGAGAGCTCCCACCACTCAGGCTGATTCCTATCAAAAGCCACTGTGCATTGCCACTTCCACTGCACCACAGCCTGTGCTGCTCTGCATTCCATGTACTCACTTTTCACTGGCTTAGAATCAATCTGGAGAAAATCATTTAAACATGAATGAAAGAAGGGAGCCCTTTGACTGTTTCATGTTACAAAATGCATGCCTGTCTGCTCACTGGTCTAGAAACCGGCCTTACAGCAGTGAAGAGACACCTCTATGAAATGTTTGACCACAAGAGCTCAGGCAGCCCTTCTGAGAGAGCATCACACACTGCAAAGCAGGGCCAACAGCACTGACCTGTGCCACACCAGCACATTGTTCCCTTCAGCAGCACCAACCTGTGCCACACTGCAGCACACTGCTCCCTTCAGCAGCACCAAATTCTGTCACACTGCAGCACACTGTTCCCTTCAGCAGCACCAACCTGTGCCACACTGCAGCACACTGTTCCCTTCAG